CTGCAAGGAGAACTTTTGACACTTGAGCCTCCTATGTGGGGCATATTGGAGATGAGCAACTCAAATGCTGATACATACGTCAGGCAGCATATCAGACTTCGACGTAACAGCCTAATACAAACTTAGAGCTTATCAACGAATCCAGAATCACACACAAACATGGCAGATTAGCAGGGGTATCGAGCACTGGCTTGCCAACTTTGAAAATTCACAACAAGCTAACCCGTGATCTGAGAGGGCTAGACTTTGGAAACAGAATCATATGGATAATTGTAACTTTCAAGCTCACACTTATCTAATCGTCAGCAAATTAACCAACGTTGGGTAACGGATGACTACCAAACGATTCAGCAGTTTAGTTCAATTCAGCATCGATTTCAGACAATTTAGTCTACGTCTCCTAACAAGCCAGCCCCAAACTCATCCCAGCCACTCTCGCAAGGCCATCACTACTAAACGTCATAAAACGACGTATCAAGTCCAGCATGCTCGGAGTTAACCTCGTCCAAGTTCCTCCCAGACCAACCACAATCCCAGAACGTGACCAGCGCCCAAAGCTTAATGAAGCTGTGCACATACCCAAACACAACCTGGCAAATAACCAGTGCAAAATCAGAAGGATACTGGAGAAAGTGAGGGATGATCTTGATAACCTTTGTCCAGAACATGAAGACCAAGAAGATCACTAATCCACCAGCATCAGAATTCTCGGCAAGGACAAACGCAGTGATGAGCGCTGCATCCCAGAGTATAGCAAAGTTGAAAAGACCTGCCCAGTACACCATGAAGCAACTCCATGTATACCGAGAGATAAAATCCGGATCACGAAGCATGACTGGATTGCTGCGAAACGTCGTACGTGCCCAGCGAAGCAACTGATCCTTAAACTTGGGCCACTCACCAAGCGTCGTCTCAATAGTCGCATCCTCTGTATCCTGAAACTTGACAAGCCACTTCTTTTTCATACCTTCTCTCGTCCAAAAGTTATCATCATCAGGCCCCAGCCCTTGACCACCAAAAAGTCCAAAGCAGAACTTTTCATTGCAGAAGCGCTGGAGGAGATCAGTGTTGTTGAGGAATTCAGTACGATATACTGCTGTTCGACCTGAGATGGCGAATACTCCACCGTCTATAGCGTTGGATGCACGGAGTTCCCAGTTATGACGCTGGAGGTAATTGCATGCGATAAAGTTGACGATGGAAAGCCATGTCCAGACTCCAGGTGTTGTGCGACGAACTCGTTTCTTGGTTGCTACCATACCGACGCTCTGATCCTCAAAGGGGGCGAGAACAGATGGTATAAAGTTCCTTGGCCAGAAGACATGGTCATCTGCGAAGATGGTAATAGGCGTAGTGACACTTGGCATCGCATGAGTGATCTGTCGCCTCTTACTCGGCTCCGGAAGCGCCGAGACAGAAATCTCAATATGAGGCGCATCAATACTTAGTTTTCGCAGAACAGTCATACACTCCTCTCTCAAAACAGCACCAACCGTAACAACCAGCATACAAGCAGGGTTATTCGCAAGGATACTCTCCACACACTCCCGAAAGTCAGGACCGTGAGGATCAATAGTTGGAAGAATAACAGTAACATCATTCCTCGAAAACGAAGGATCCTGCTTTACCTCTGCGGGTCTATACATCCACGAGCCAACAACATGTCCGAATAACCGGTGATACCGCAGTGTGAAGAGCGTGCAGAATACTTGAGTCCAGATATCATTGACGAAGAGCCAGATGCAAAGGAGACTGGTGAGCAGTGGAACAATCAGTAGGATAGATGGAAGGATGCGAGAGGGAATGTGGTCCTTTGAAGGAAGGGCGGTTGGCCAAGGAAAGAGTGACATGTTGATTGTGATCTTCTTACCGAATGGACTGTTTTTGACGTAGAAGTTGGTAAAGTTGGCAGAAATCAACTGGTTTCCAAGGAATTAGAATTGAGGGTTTTATAAGGGCGTGATGAGTGCCGTGACGCTGTTCTGTGGTTTGGACTGTGATTCATTGTTGTGTTTGTTGTGATGAACAATGAGCTTTGTTTGTGAGGGTGAAGGCAGTGAATAATTTGAACAGAGCATACGAAACGCAAAAGACAGGCAAGAGTTCATCTGGAGTTAACAAAGCACTTTGCATTAGTCGACAACTTGCAGGTCACTGCTCAATACGAAGACTGCGCAGCACAAGAGTCTCTTGGCAGTGTCAGTCTGCCTCTCCCACTGACTACGAACATATTCCATCCTCAATAAGGCTTTTTATTTACCGGCGGTTGGGTACTGGACCTCTGAGGCCTGACTGAACGTCGGAGTGATGGCGCGCATTCATAGTGAAATTGAGCCAGTACGTTACCATTTCAGCTGACGGAATCCCAAAGCGACTTCACCAATCAGGTCAAAGGTAAGGCTCAACTGACCCTCTTTATTCCATCTAACTCTAGACTTTATATCTAAAAGATGCCAAAGAAGCTCCTCTTTCCCTTCTTCTTTTCAGGAGGATAAACCACAATCTTATCCAAATCCGCACCCTTGACATCCTTGCCATTATCCAATCCCCCAACAGTAATAGTGTTCTTCCCCTTCTTCAGCGGGAGCAACAGAGGCGCCGATAGAATAATTCCCTTGTGCGTATCCTTCTGCCAGAGAGTATGCACTTTTTCCTTATCACCGTTCACAACAACACTGCTGATTCGTCGGACTGCCCATGTTCCGTTGATACGATCAGGTTGACCCATTGGTTGGTCACCAAAACCCATGTCATCAATATCTAGATGATTATGAGCACGAGAAATGGAGGAAGTGAGGGGAGGGGGGGAGGTTACTTTGGTGATAGAAGGATACCCATTGATCAGCGCCTTGTCCTTCAACTGTGAATGTAGCGGTGCTGTCGTTGCCGTAGATGCCAGTTGCGATGACATGGTCCGTTCCAAAGGTCTAAACACTGTCATTATAACCCTCAACAAACTCGAAGAGTTTGACTTACAGCTTCTTGGAGGTGAGCGCCCCCAGCAAATTTGGCGTTCTTGGAGGGGTATGTCTTTCCCTTGATAGGTTTCCATTCACCAGTTTTGCTGCATAGTCAGCATCATCTTGACAACTAGTCCCTGTAAAACTTACACGTTCAAATCGTAAACATCGTGCCAAACGACCTTGAGACTCTTGTTCTCCTCATCGATCTCAATAGGAAGCCAGACATTGCGACTCTCCCAGATCGAGGGTAAATCCCACTTCGAAACGTCAGCTTCGACTTGTCACAGAATAGAGCTTCATACCTGGTCAGCCATGTAAAGATACGTCGTCTTCTTAGTCCCCTTGATCCTCCACGAGAACCCACTCTGCGTACTAAACGTCCTCGTATAAGCCGGCGCAACGAAGAAAGGCTGCGACCAGGGACCCTCAAGTTTATCAGCCCTCATAGCCACAACGTCTAAACCCATTAGTCTTCCCTCCTTCACTCTTATCCCCAGGTTACTTACTGTTAGGTCGATATCCCGTCTTGTGACTCATAAAAGTCCAGTAGCTCTTCTCCGTCTGAATAATAGTCGGCGCCTCGAAATCATATTTATTAAACCGAAACGTAACCTTTTCCACATCCGTGAGGTTCTTATTAAACTCGCTCACATACACATCGCGACCTTGTACTTTATCGCCGTTGGAGTAGAGAGCGTAGGATTTGCCGGTCTTGTAGTCGGTGAAGGCGCCAAAGTCTTGGGACCAGTTTCCGAGGGGGGAGACGGCGTGTTGGAATTTGTAGGGACCTGCAATGTTGTCGGATGTTGCGAGGCCTTGGAGGAGAAGGCTGTAGTTGCGGTCGTCTGCGTGCCACCACATCTAAGGACTGTCAGTTTGGTGATTGGTTAGCAGGGAGGGGGCGTACGTGGTATTTTCCTGTTTCTTCGCTATAGAGAACCTTGGGACGTTGGATGATACTCTCGGGCGACACAAACTCGTGTCCCTCCTCAGGCTCTGTAACACGTCAGTAGTAATCCCCAGGGCGAATTAGGAGACAAACTCAGTGCCAAACCGTGGGACTCCCATGTAGCGAGGTCATCAGAGCTATAGACCGAAATACCACCGCCTTCTTCCTGCTCTTCAGTCTTGTGTTCACCAAACCAATAAAACTTGCCGCTCTCCCTATCAACACAAAGACCGCCTGCATGAGCGTTGAACAAGTTCCCGTCAGTATCGTACCATCGTGCACCGGGAACAATCCACTTTGCACTCGCCAGCGCAGCGAATGCGAGGACGGAGAAGAGCGTCATTTTGGCAATCAATTGACTTGTACAACCAATTCAACAGCTCTGCAGCCAATCGAGAAGCTCTGTAATCGAATGGAATTGTCTGCATTTTATAGCTATCTCGGTACATCTCCGCCCGACGGCGCAGAAGTCCCCCAACGGCGTCATACCTCGTCTGAGCATCACGGCCGTTTATGCTTGTTTGTTTTGCGGGGGAGCCCCCCAATTTGCACGCCGATCCCCCGCGGTAGTAGACGCTTCAATCATGGTGAGTCTTGGCCCCCGGGGTAATTGGGGACCACCAATCGGTAACTTTGCGAGAAATGCCTAAATTACGTAGGAATTGAATCGGGTGAGCTTTGTCCGTTGCATTGGATCTGGGGTATCTTAATTGAGGATGAGGTATTAGCTGGCCTCAGGGAGCAAGAAAACACCGGACCGTGATATAGGGTATTGAAATAAACCAAGTAAAGAGTACCCTAATCTTAGGCTAAATTTACCTAAAGTTTTTATCACTTAGGGTTAAGGTCCTGCGTTTTCTTTCTTCCCCTAGGCTGGCCGGTGAGGATGCTGTTGGAGATTAGTGCTGTAATTACAGCGCTACAGGCTTCGGGTTATTATTTTCCCTTGGCAGTTGGCGATGATATCAGATGCTGACATGCATTGGGAAACCAATCTTACAATATCCATATAACATCATGGCTAATGCGCCGGGACGTCCGAGTAAAGCTTGCGATGTCTGTAAAAAGCAAAAGGTCTAAGCATCAAAATGATCGTACGGGCATGGCTAATTCCATTGTGTATCTAGATACGCTGTTCGGGAGAGCGACCCAGCTGTAAGCGATGCGTCAGGTTGAAGAATACCTGCACATACGACACCAATAGCAAGTCCAATAGACGCGTGACAAAAGCGACATCTGAAACTAGAATCTCTTGTTCTATTCAGGCTAGAGATTTAGTCCCAGCTGCGCTGGCAGCTAATCTCAACGCTGGGACTGTATCAAACCAGGCTTTCTTCCAGGGCATCGCCCCGTCTTTGGTCAATACCTTGGTTGAACTATACTTTGACAATGTCTATCAGTCAACTCTTCTATTACACAAGGCCACATTTCTGCAATCAGTAGCAGATCAGAGCATTAAGCCTCATATTCTTCTCAGCATTTGTGCCTGGGGCGCCAAGTGAGCCTCCATTCTCGCCCCCCCGCTGAACCTAGCTAACGACCAAGTTTCTACCGTGATGATTCGGGGAAAGCTACTCTCAAAGACCAAGGCCTCATGACCAAATGGGCTAAAGAAGCTGGGGCGCGGGTCTTCCAAGATGCAGAAGAGCTCAACGATGATAATCTCGTCACGTTCTGCAATCTATCGCTGTTCTGGCATAGTCAAGGTTCATGGAGGATAAGCTATCTCCACAAGGGTACGTCCACTCAACTTAGACCTTGTCAATACTGACTTTACTAGGTAACGCCTGTCAGCTCCTCCACATCAAAGGGACTGGCACAAAGAACGAATCCTCAATCGAAGCTGAACTAAGAAGACGGCAATTCTGGACATGTTACTTATTCCACTGCTTCAGTTGCGAGAAGCTGTTTAGATTCGAGGCAATTGCTGACATTGAGAATCTGCCGCTACCTTGGTCTGAAGAAGACTTTGCAGCTGGGGCATCACGCTTAGCGGTCGCTACGATTGCGAATGGAGATTGCTCGGGAAGTATTTTTGCGGAGCTCATACGCGGTCTCAATCTCTGGTAAGTCGAATCTCACCTACCGACAATTGTACTGACTTGGAAGGTCCTCTGTCGTGTCTGTCGTTAGATCCGAGGGTGACCTCAATGCACGCCTTCAAGAGATCTTCAGGGTTGAGAACAGCATCTCATCATGGTGGAACAACGTCCCCATCAGCTTCAAACTTGAGGCATCTCCTGCTTCAAGCATGCCACCCGAGGATTTACCCAAGATCATTCTGACCAACCTCGCCTATCATCAATCCCTCTGCGCTCTGCATTCATCCATCGTTCCGCTCTTCTGTTGGTCAAAAGGCGACAGGACTTACTCCTCGGCCAGACAATTATCTGCTCTGCTCAAGTCGCCTTTGATCACGCTGTTGCTATCTCCAGCCTCAACTCTGCGATATTAAATACCGGTTATCCGCTCAGTTCGATGCCGATATTTGTCGCCTACGCAGCTTACTCAAGCTGCGCTATTCAGATACCTTTTCTGTGGTGTTCCGAGACATCAGTTAGAGAGCGAGCTCAATCCAACATTGACGCCAATGTCAAGATGATACAGGGCATGTCGGGTTACTGGAAGCTGGCTTCATTGCTGGTTAGTGTCGTAATTTTATATGATGTCGCTCACACTAACGCTGGGACAGCAACTCTACGTGCGCTGCCTTCATAACGTTCATAAACGCAATCCGCCTATGATCGCTGGTGAGCCCAAATACATGGATATTTCGGCACTTGTTGACTTTGACGTCGATGCGTCGCTTGCAAAATCGTCGATTTTACAGTTTGCTGGGATGTTGCGATCTGATGAGAATGGATATGTCAAAGCTGGAGACGAGACCTCAGATCCAACTGTATCCATTGACGGCCCCAATTCTGACGATCCTCAAACTCCAGATCGCACAGCGAATACGAGCAAACCGAACACGATACTTCCGCAAACTCCGAATCAGTTCTCTTCGGGGCCCAACGAATGGCCCACTTTGGATATATTCAACTCCCTTATCGACGCTGATATTGCTGGTTTATTTCCCATCGACGACAATTTCGATCTATCGTTCTTAGATGCAGATCAGACCTTGTGGGATTTCGGCCTCGATCTGGAAATACCCTAGAGCTTCGACTTATCATATGACAAATCATCTTAGCGCAAACGAGATCGTACTAGCGATGACATTCTCCGAGTCGGTAAATTCCATGATTGGTCAAACAAGTCTCGAACTAGACAGTGGGACCGGTAAATGCCTCGGCACGGAAAACACAAACTCCATAATGACGATCGAGATGGACATGGACCAGTATAAGAACTCTCACCACGTCAACTTCATAACCTCTTGACACTCTAATCTCAATCATATCCACTCATAAAAATGCCTCTCACAGTCCATCACCTCCAAGTCTCCCAGTCAGAGCGTATCCCCTGGCTCTGCGAAGAACTCGGCATCGAATATGATCTCAAGCAATACAAACGCTCTCCCCTCCTCGCACCCGCCGACTTCAAGGCTCTTCACCCCATGGGCGCCGCCCCCGTCATAACAGACGGCGCAACAACCCTCGCCGAGAGCTGCGCATGCATTGAATACATCAGCCACAAATACGCCAATGGCGCTCTCTTCCTGCCCCCAAGTCACCCAGCGTACGCAGATTTTCTCTACTGGTGGCACTACGTCGACGGAACCCTCCAAACTGCCTTAGGTCGAATCATGCTCATTCGCTCTGCAAAGTTGAGCGATGATAACCCTGTCGTGCAGTTTGGTAAAGTAAAGTCACGACAGGCACTCAAGTTATTGGATGAGCGGGTCAAGAATAATGAGTGGCTTGCGGGCGAGGAGTTTACGGCTGCTGATATCATGGTTGTGTTTCCGCTCACGACGATGAGATACTTTTCGCCGTATGGATTAGAGGAGTATCCTAATGTTTTGAAGTATCTTGAACGGATTGCACGGAGGGAGGGGTTTAAGAAGACGATGGAGAAGATTGATAATAGTATGGAGATGTCGATGGGTGCGAGCCCGCCTCAGAGTCCTTTCAAGCTGTGATTTGGGGAAATGGTATGGGGTATAGAGTGGAAGAGGATTATGTGGTCTAGACTTTTCTTCTCAATTAAATATCAGCCCTACTCTTACTTTTGCAGCTGACATGCCTTACAAGTAATAGCTCCTCAGCCTCTCATTGGCGGACTTGCCGCTGATACCCTGGCTTCATCGCTGACAGGATTCATCTCGTCAGCACTGTCAGCCAAAACACCTGAAGGAGTCAATCTATGCTGCAAATAAGACACCTTTTTCTGCAAATGGAAGAGACTAAGATTGATAGAGAAACATGCAGTACCTGGTCGTAATAGTGCTGAAAGTGACGCACAAGTATAAATACTCGCGTTGATCTCACCGGACCCCTCGCTACTGGGCGCCTCAAAAGATCTCGTTGTATCACATCATGTCTACGAACTCAGAAAAGCCCGTCATAGCCATCATTCAGGGCGCATGGCATCGCGCGAGCCACTACGAAGGCCTTGCGCAGTCGCTTACCAACAAGGGCTTCACAGTCCTTCAACCGGACAATGTCACAGCTAGCAATGATGATGGTATCAAAGGCAAAACTCACCTAGATGACGTTGAAGCCATTCGACAGTCTCTTCAACCCGCTCTCGATGAGGGCAAGAGGATCGTGTTGGTCTGCCATAGCTACGGAGGCATACCTGGCTCCGCTGCTGTTGACGGCCTACAGGTTCATGAACGAGAGGCCAAGGGTTTGCCTGGCGGTATTTCGCATGTAGTCTATATCGCCGCGTTTGCTCTCCCCGTAAAGGGGCTATCTCTTTTGTCGGCCGCTGGAGGCCAGCATGGGCCTTTTCTCGACAGAACAGTAAGCTACACATAATATCATGTCCAGAATACTGCTAACATGTTCCAGGATGATATCTGCTACCTAAACGACAAAGCACAAAACGCCTTCTACAACGATTGCACTCCCGAAGTAGCTAAGAAGGCAATCAGCGAATGTGTCAACCATAGCACTGCATCTCTCGAAACACCCGCCGACTTTGTGGCTACTGATATCACTGTGCCTAAGACGTATGTTGTCTGCGAGATTGATAATACGGTTCCTGTGCAGGGACAGTTGGCTATGGTTGGTGCGATGGGGGATGGGGTCGATGTCGAGAAGATAGAGGCTGGTCATTGTCCATTCTTAAATGAGAAGACTCTCCCTAAGATTGTGGAGATTATTGAGAAGACTGGGCAGTAAACATGGCTTGAAGTAGGCTAGGAACGATCAGAGGGGCATAGAAAGATATATGCGTTAACCTTTGTCATTTATATCTAGCCTACAAAGCAACAGAGGGGTTCAATGGTCCAGGCAGATCCATATCACCATGCAATAGTAACAGAAACAAGACCGCAATTCATTTGCAAGCTCAAATAGAGCACACAACAAACCCTCTCACCATCAACCTCACATCTCCCTCAGTTCTCAGCCGCCAAAGCCTTCTGTAAAGCCTCAGGGTTTCTAGGCTTGAAGATAGCCTTGTATCGACGAGGTAGAGCGACGAGACTTGTAGGATCCAAGCTACCAGTAATAGGATGGCAATCCACCTCATCAGACTTCTCAATCTTGAGACTGTTCAGAAGTCTCATGTAGACAAGGTACAGTTCTCGGTTGGCGAGGAGAGAGCCAGCGCACATGCGATAACCGACACCGTATGTGAAGAGAGGAGCGTCAGGCTGTTCGAACCATCGCTCTGGGCGAAAGACCTCGGGATCAGACCAGACTTGATCATCTACAGAATGTTAGCGCGATACACAAGACGAAAGGTGAGTGGAGACTTACCCATATTACAAGCCCAGGCGTTCAAGAAAACAACAGTACCCTTGGGAATAGTAACGCCCTCATAAACAATATCCCTGATCGAAGCTCTCGGCAGCGCCAACCTCAAAACAGTGTAGTACCTCAACGACTCCTTCACAAGCGCAACGATATACTCGCACTTCTGATCATCCTGCTCATCGCACATAGGCTGCTTCTCACTGTAAAACTTCCCAATCTCCGAAACAGCCTTTTCCTGAATCTCAGGATGCTGGCTCAAATACGCGACAAACCACGCAACCTGTGTAGTAACAGTGTCCAAACCGCCAGAAAGCATAGTTAGACTAATAGAGGTGAGTTCGTCCTTGTTCAGCTTGGCCTCCTTGTCCATTATGACGTTGGCTTGAATACAGGGCTTATAAGTCCCATTTGCGATGCGCTCGTCAAGACCGTTGTTGAGATCAGTCAGATACTTATCCCGACGGTTTCGCATCTCTTTTGCCTTGGCGGAGTGCATGTTGAAAGGGTTCAAGCGGAGGAGGGGGATGTAATCTTGGAGATTGCCGGTGGTTGAGCGGAAACGGCTGATTTCTTCCTCGACGTGGGTGATTTCAGAGAAGAGATCGTCTTTTTGGCTCTTGAGACGAATACCCCAGTTGAGAGTGAGTGCGAGGGATAGAGAGAGGCGCTGGATCATGGGCATGGGGTCGACGGGGATGTTGCCGCCTTTGCCATACTCGTAAAGCTCACGGACAAAGTCGCGTGTTTCGACATCGAGATGGTCGACGTATGTTGCTACTGATGGACGGTTGAGAGCTGAGGCAGCGCCCTTGCGACGACGCTTGAGGGAGTCGCTGTACGGAGAAGTACCGATTGTAGTACCAGCAGTATCAGAGAGAACCTAACCCATCAGCATCTCTTCAATCACCACTAATATTCACAGTAAGCGCACCTTGTGGAAAGTATAAAACTCAGGCCTCGAACTCAAAGCCTGCGCATTCGCCCCAAAAATACTCCTCGCAGCCGCCGCAGAATTAACCACGACGATAGGAATGTTCCCCAGCTGAATCTGATAAACAGGGCCGTACTTTTTCGCCCAAGCGCGGTATTTCTCCGCGGCGTTGATGTGAATGTCCCAGATATTGCCGATCAGCGGTAGACCCGAGGGGCCCTTTAAGTTGCTGATCCTCGCATTGTGACGAATGAGTTCGTTGATGAGGATGTAGATCAGCGGGCCAATCAGGAGCGTGACGAGGAGGGACTGGCCCTTGTTCTCGTGGACTTGATTGTTCAGCGATACCAGGAGATTAGCGATCGTCATGATGAAGCCTGAATGAGTCTGAATGCTACAGAGTGAGATTTGAGAATACGGATTTGGTGCAGGTCTATATACCGTCGCAAACTCAATGTCTACCCTCCATCGACACCAAAATACGCCAAGAATAACCCCACACTCCAGATTCTCATTAAGTTAGTCTCTCCAACCCCGCAATTCTCGTCTTCCGACTCGGAAACATCGGAAGAATTTCCGAGAAACCCTCTTTAACCAGGGATTTCCAATCCAAGACCCCTCAGTCGACTTTTCTATCCTTTCGGAAATTCGTTTTACTGTTCGTCATGGCTGAAGAACACCCGGTACTAAAGCCGAAAAAGCGGAACTCGGCCGATGCTGAGAGTGTTGGTGATACACCTGCTCCACGGAGTAAGAGGGGCAAATACACCTCTGTTGCTTGGTGAGTGATGATGATTGGGTTGAGTGATGTATGAGTGTTGACTTGGATGGGGTAGTGATGATTGTAAGAAAAAGAAACTCAAGTGTATTCCCTCTGAGGATAACGCGTGTGAGAGATGTATCGCCGGTGGATTAACGTGTACCTTTGCGACGAGTGCACAAGCTACCAAAGAGAAACCCGATGAGTAAGTATTCCCCTGTATCAAAGAATAAACTGACAAGTCGCAGTAGTCAGAATATTCAAGCTCTGAATCATCAATTATCAGAACTTCGTCAACAAATGTCAGATCTCGTCGGCGTCGTTCGTGAGCTCAAAGACCAGAACCAAAACAACCACCAAACCCTTCCCCACGATGCATCAACCGTATCATCCCACAACATAGTAACCCACTCACCCGCCAGCACCGCCCGCGGCGAAATGCCCAAACAGCCTCAATTCGTCGGTCCAACACGCTCCGCCTTCGGAATCCTCGTAAGCGAACGTTCCCTCAATAGAATGGGCGTACCAAAATTCGACTCCATGCCACCCAGCGGCGCACAATCACCCATCGAACCAGCTCTGGATAGTATTAACGACCTAAGTTTCTGGCACTGCTGCACGGCGAGTGATATCACGAAATATCTTGTTAATTTCCAGGAGGAGGTTGAGTCGGTGTATCCGTTTATCGATATTGCGGAGTATATCGCGCAGAGCAAGGAGATACTGCAGGCTATTCGTGGGGGCGGGG